GAACAAAGAGTCCTTTTCAAAATATAAATATGCCCTGAAGGCTTGTTGCCATCAGTCATTCATACCTGGATATCGATTCATTTTATTGGCTAGTGACCTCCTAATGCTTAGCTGAATTCTGCCCTGAGAAATAGGAATTTTTATTCTAGAAAGGGGCAATGGAGCCTGGGTCCTAGGAGATGGGAGATGGGTGGGGCTGGGGCTGGACCCCGAATGTCCGAGGGTCATAGGAGGTCTGTGGAAGAGGGAACTCACACTCCCCAAGCCCTCCTGTGGGCAGGCACTGGCCATCTTTCTTTTCTAAGGTGCTGCCATCACCAGTTCACAATTGAGGTAACTAGAGCTTGGAGAAGGGGCCTGTCCTGCCAAGGTCATCTCGTGCACAGGTGACGGAAGTGGGGTTGGACCCTGGTCGGTCTCACCCCAAAGCATATGCTGTCTTGTTGCCGCGCCCCGTCATAATAATGATCATCATCTCAGCTGGCATTTGTTCAACACTTGCTCTATACCAGGCATTGTTCTGAGTGCTTTATGGATTTTAAGTCATGCCATTTTCACAACAATACTATGAGGTAAACACTATCATTGTCCCCATTTTACAGACGGGAAACCTGAGGCACATAAGAGGTTAAGTGACTGGCCCAGAATCCCACAGCTAAAAGTGTCAGGTGGGATTCACAGCCAGGCAATCCAGCTCTGAGGCACGGGAAAGGATGCTGCCTTGTCAAGGTCTTGTGGTGGATTAAGAGTAGATTCTCTACTAAAAACAAACAAAACCCCCGCAAAATCATAGATACAGAGAAGAGACTGGTGGTTGCCAGAGATGGGGGGTTGGGGGTGGGCGAAATAGGTGAAGGGGGTCAAAAGGTACAAACTTCTAGTTACACAATAAAAAAGTCCTGGGCATGTAATGTACGGCATGGTGACTATAGTTCATAATACTGTACTGCATATTTCAAAGTTGCTACGAGAACAGACCTTAAAAGTTGTCATCACAAGAAAAAAAATTTTGTAACGATGTATGGTGACAGATGCTAACTAGACTACTGTGGTGATCATTTTGCAACATATACAAATATCGAATCATCATGTTGTACCCTTGAAACTAATATAATGTTATATGAGCGTTACACCTCAATAAAAATGTTTAATTTAATTAAACTTTTAAAAAAAGAGTAGATTCTCTAGACCATTGGTTCCCAAGTAGGGGTGATTTTTGCCCCCAGGAGACATTTGGAAATGTCTGGTGACATTTTTGATTGTCACAACAACTGGGTGGGGTGTTACCTGCATCCAGTGGGGAGGCCGCTAAACACCTTTCAATGCACACACCGGCAAAGGATCATTGGTCCCAAACGTGGGGAGCGTTGAGGTTGGGAACCGAGGTCTAAACTTGTTAGAGAGGAGTGAATCTACCTCCTCTTGAAGTTAAGGCCTTAGTCTCAGAGGAGAAGAAATGGCAGGGGGGTGCTTCAGAACGAAGCCTGCATAGCGTGGCTGAGATGCTGTAACAGAGACCGAATCCCTGGGATTACATAAGTGAGAAGCTCATTTCCTGTGCACATAAATGACCAAAGACAGGTCCATGTGCTCAGACGGCTTTGTGCGTGAGGCCTTTCAGGGCCCAGGTTCCTTTGCCTTGTTGCTCAGGGATTCCCTGGGGCGTTGGCTCAGTTTGTGTGATTGAAGTTATTCTCCACCCCATGTCTGCACTCCAGCATACAAAAAGCAGGAAAGAGGAAGTAGAAGGCACAGAAGTTTATAAGCCCAGAGCTGGGAATCGGTTGTTAAACACAACCATTATTAAATTAAATTCTATAAATGTATAAATAACTAATTTGTGTTTAAAAAAGGTTAATAAGTACTCAAAATGTATCACTTCCTAATTAATTTTGCTACATTCTGCCCATTACCTAGGCCCTTGAGATTTTCACATCTGTTTTATCTGTATTGTGGAATCACTGCGTAATGCTGTGTTCCACTGCCCATGCCTTCCCAACTTTTTTTTTTTTTTTTTTTTGGCGGTATGCGGGCCTCTCACTGTTGTGGCCTCTCCCGTCGCAGAGCACAGGCTCCGGACGTGCAGGCTCAGCGGCCATGGCTCATGGGCCCAGCCGCTCTGCGGCATGTGGCATCTTCCTGGACCGGGGCACAAACCTGCGTCCCCTGCATCAGCAGGTGGACTCTCAACCACTGTGCCACCAGGGAAGCCCAACCTTCCCAACTTTGCAGTCCATGGCATCACAGTGGTATCAGTCACAGAGATCAGTAAACTCTACACATCAGAGCTTGAGTGTTTGCTTTGTCGATTGTCTAAATTTAAGAAAGTGATCAAGCAAATGTTAATAATGGAGATTAAACCCCAAACCTGTAGGCATTGCATTACTAAACCTGTTGCCATTACACTGTGAATAACACAAAAAGTTGAGAAAATATTCTTCCAGAATCTGTAAAGTATGATTCGATTCAGCAAAGAAGTTGCTTTTATCACTGACAAACTATGACGACAAAGGCATTTGTTGTTTGCCTTTCATCTTACTTGTTAACATGAAAGAAGTTATCAGCCAACATTCACATCGGCACTGCTCTTATTCATCCATGATGTGAGCAGCCTCTCTTCTGAATTTGGTAATGATTGAGCATTAGTTTGATTTTGTGACACTATTGTTGGTGATAGATTTGTAAAAACTGATAGTAGATTTTGCAAGAAATTCCAAGTCACACTGAAGCTAGAGGTGTATGAAATTCACAATAAAGAGGACTGTATTTTTATTTTTTGTAACTGTGTAATACATTCTTTTTAAAATTTTATTATTATTTTTTACTGAAGTATAGTTGATTTACAATGTTTCAGGTGTACAGCAAAGTGATTCAGTTATACATATACATATATAAGTATTCTTTTCCAGATTCTTTTCTATTATAGGTTATTACAAGATATTGAATATAGTTCCCTGTGCTAATCATTAGGTCCTTGTTATCTATTTTATGTATAGTGGTGTGTATCTGTTAATCCCAAATTCCTAATTTATCCCCCCATACATTCTTTACATCAGTAAAATTTACGGCAGACATATCTGTGTGTGTGTATACTTTTTCCCCCAGGACCCTAGAACATCTGTCAGCTCACCACCACGCAGATCCCCTTCAATCACGGTCTGTTGGCAGGAATATGAGTCACATGGTCCCAAGGCCACGCCTAGCTTCAAGGGATGCTGGGAAATACAGTCTCTAGCTGGGGGCCATGTGCCCAGCTAAAATCAAGGCAGCCCAACCATGGCAGCCCCGTGTATTTTCCCCAGAGGAGAGCACCAGCTCACTGGGGTTAGCCGTTTAGATTTTCCAGGGCCACACTTATGGCCTTCTCATGGCCTCATCTGAAGGCCGGCTTCGAGTTACCACTAGCTCCCACTCAGAATTTCAGGAAAGCACAGAGTATGGTGTCCTGAAGGGACAGATTCCCAAACCTCATTCTGCACCTTCAAGTGCCTGCTTCCTGCCCTTGCTTTACCGTTCGCATCTGTAATCCTGCAGCCATACCAGCAGGGCTTGACTTCGAGCAGTTTTGTGCTCCACACCAATGTTTGGGGTACATTAAACAGAACGTGGGTTCTGGAGTTCCAGTTCATGCAAATCTCTTCATCTCTTTGAGCCTCAGTTTCCTCCTCTATAAAATGAGGATGATAAAATTTACCTTGCTTGGGCTTCCCTCGTGGCGCAGTGGTTGGGAGTCCGCCTGCCGATGCAGGGGACACGGGTTTGTGGCCCGGTCCGGGAGGATCCCACATGCCACGGAGCGGCTGGGCCAGTGAGCCATGACCGCTGGGCCTGCGTGTCCGGAGCCTGTGCTCCGCAGCGGGAGAGGCGACAGCAGTGAGAGGCCCGCGTACCGCAAAAAAAAAAAAAAAAATTTACCTTGCAGCGTTATTGTAAGAGTCAAATGAAACAATCTTTGGGGAAGTTTTGTTGTCTAGAAACTGCAATTCAGGTGTGAAGTAATTAATTCCAATTCCTAACAGACTGGTTTGTGATCAGGCTCAGATGGAATTACAGACATATAAGCCCTTTGTAAAACTGTTAAGTACTGTACTGATATAAGGTGGCATATTACATTTTTAAGTAATGAAAAATTGCTGGTTATTTTATTATAACAAAAGAAATACTGACATAGAAAACAAACTTACAGTTACCAAAGGGGAAATGGGGGGAGAGATAAATTAGGAGTATGGGATTAACAGATGTACACCACCGTATATAAAATAGATAAATAACAAGGATTTACTGTATAGCACAGAGAACTATCCTCACTATCTTGTAATAAACTATAGTGGAAAAAGAAAAAACAAGGAAAAGAAAAAAAGCAATACTGCTAAAAATTTAGAAAATGCAAAGTAAAAATAAGAAACTAAAATACCCATGATGCTACCACTCAGAGACTATTTATATTTTGTTATAGCTCCAACAGTTATTAATTCGTGGTCGTGTTTGTTATATTTGGACTCCCACCTACGCCCTCCAGCTCCCTTATTCAAATAATCAGATTATTTTGAAGCATGTCCCAGACATCATATAATTTCATCATAAACATTACAGTATTTATCTCTAAATTTAAGAATACTTTAAATAAATATAACCTCAATATAAATATCACACCTAAAAAAATAAATTCTCTAATGGAGGATGTTGATAACGGGAGGCTATGCACGTTTAGGAGCAGGGGATATATGGGCAACCTTTGTACCTTCCACTCAATCTTGCTGTGAGCCTAGAACTACTGTAAAAACTAAAGTCTCTTTTTAAAAAAATAAGCTCTTAATAGTATCAAAAGGTGATCATTATTCAAATTTCCCTAATTGTGTATTTCTTTTTTCGTAAATTGTTCTTGTACCTTTGAATATTGGATGTTTATATTTTTCTTATTTATTTGCCAAGCTCTTTATATATTAAACATATTAACTAAGGTAATATTAATTACTATTGTTATTCCAACAGGGGAGGCCATGGAGACTTCAGGATCACTTCAGGACCACAGTCGAGTCCACGGAGAATCAGAAGATCTAGACCGTATGTTTGCTCTTTCTGACCCTCTGGGCAAAGCCGCATGGGAGGTGAAGTCCAGCAGTAGGTGGAGCAGAAGACCCTGCTCAGCTCATGCGGCACAATGAATGGCCCAAGTTACGGTTGAAACCTCTAGAGAAGTAGTGACTTTACACACACGCACATGTGTGTGCTTGGTCCAGTCTGTTCCCCAGTACTCTCTAGCTGTGTGGACCTTCAGTTGCTCCCCAAATCTCAGAGGCTCTGGGGGCTTGGACTGGCCCTAGGGAGAGTCCTCAGAAGGTGGGAAGGGTCCTGCATGGCCCCAGAATGGGGAATGGGAAGGTTTAGGGCTTGATCGGATCCCACCTGCCCTGTAATTTACAGAGAATTTTAAATTGGCAACTGCTCTACACAGTGTAGTGGTCTCTTGGGAAGGATGGAGGGCTTAGAAGCCCCTCTCTGGGCTCCGCATTCAGAGAAAAGTCTGCCTTTGGCCTTCCTAGAGCCTCTGGGGCCTCTGAGATCCCTGGTCTCCTGCACCTCCCATTGGCCCTAGGGGTTTGGGAAGAGTGTCCCAGTGAATCCAGCCACTCCTGGCTCCCCACATCCAAGTAGACCCCTGGAGAGGCCTGGGTGGTCTCTGGGGTGGGAAGGGCAGGAAACACTCATCCTTGCCTATGTGTGCCTCCCAGATGGAGAGACGGATTTCCACAAGGAAGACCAGGAGGCTGAGCTCTATTCTCAAGAACAAGATGAGAGAGGCAAGTCTTCCTCCTCTTCATCCTCCTCCTCAGGTAAAACAATGATTTCATTAAATAAATCTATATTAAAATATTAAAGACAAGCATTTACATGGAAAAACCAATCTCCTGGACTTCCCTGGTGGCGCGGTGATTAAGAATCCGCCTGCCAATGCAGGGGACACGGGTTCAAGCACTGGTCTGGGAAGATCCCATATGCCGCGGAGCAACTAAGCCCGCGAGCTACAACTACTGAGCCTGTGTGCCACAACTACTGAAGCCCGCGCGCCTAGAGATCGTGCTCCGCAACAAGAGAAGCCACCGCAATGAGAAGCCTGCACACCGCAACGAAGAGTAGACACTGCTCGCCGCAGCTAGAGGAAGCCTGTGCACAGCAACAAAAAGCCAACGCAGCCAAAAAAATAAATTAAAAAAAAAGAAAAAGATTAACAAAAAGAGAAAAGAAGAAAAACCAGTCTCCTGAACCTCCCACCTCCGTACTACAGCTCTGTTTTTCCATGTTCCCTTCCAGAGCCTGCCTCTCTGTACATGTAACTTGTACACAGTTATAACTACCATATAGGGACTTCCCTGGTGGTCCAGTGGTTTAGAATCCGCGCTTCCACTGCAGGGGGCACGTGTTTGATGCCTGGTCAGGGAACTAAGATCCCATATGCCACGTAGTGTGGCCAAAAAAAAAAAAAACCCCCAAAATTACCATATAGACAATTTTGTCCTTGGTTTACAATTTTTTTTGCTATCTTATCCTAAGCATTTTGCCATGTTATTCCATAATATCTTAGCGGCTATTTTTCATGTTTCCCAAGTAGCCCCTCAAGTGACTGCGTCTCATGTAAAGGAACGTTTAAGTTTCATAGGAGCACTTTGGAATCAGGGGCAGTGCATGTGTCCATTCAAGCAGGCTGCGGGTTCATACCCTTTCTTTGCCACTAACTAGCTAAGCGTCCTTGGGTAAATTGCTTAACCCTGTATGCCCTGGAGTCCTCATGCATAAGTTGGGGATGATAACAAAAGTTATTATCTCATAGGATACCTGTGAGGATTACATTCTACACGTGCAAAGGCTTAGCACCTATCAGATAGTAATAGCTCTAAAAATAACTGCTATTGTTAAGATTTTCCCCCTTCCCCACCCCAGTTTGTCATGCTCAAGAGCATCCTTGCACAAAAGCCTTTACTTTTTGAATTTTTCATACAAATCAAGTCCTACGTACCTACTCCCACAAGCACTTTAATGGGTTTAGAGGGATGAGCATCTCTAATTGAACTTTGATTACAAGTTGCCACATTATTCTCGTCTGACAAGAAGCAGGATGTCTCTCTACTTTTATTCTTTTCACTCAAAAGGTAAGGCTGAATTTATAGCAGCAGCAACATCACAGCTAGTATTTATTGAGCACTTACTTTGTGCCAGGTAGCGTTCCAAGCACTTTATGTGGAATAACTCAGTTAATTCTCATACCAACCCATGAGGAAGGCATTGTTGTTATTCCCATTTTACAGGTGAGGAAACTGAGGCCAGTGAGGTTTAGTTCTAGCAGAGCTTCCAGAGGCAGGAGGGCTACAACACAGGATTCTGTCCCTTTGTTTGTCCTCCCTAGGTGGGAAGGGACGTTTTGTCTTCTGATTCTGATTGACCCTCAGGGGTTGCTGCTCCCCCACAAATGTTCTCCCCCAAGTGTGGCCATAAGTTCCTTCCTTCTTGGTCTCCATAGTACATACACATGGGACTGGGCGTAGTTAACAAAACTGAACACTTAAGAGAAAGCAGCAGGAAAATAAACATGGAGTCCTAGAAGCATCGAGACAGACTGACATTCAGGATCCTGGTCTCTGATCCTACCCTGGTTGGCCTGCTGCTGGAACTCAGACCCTGCCCATTCTTCAGGCTCAAACGGTGACCATTAGTCCTTGGGCCCCAAGGCTGAGTGCCTCCCAGCAGCCCCCCACCTTCCTCCACGTTAGGGCCCTAACTCAGAGTCTGGCATGCAGCACCACTCTCCCTACATAGCTTTTTGTTCTTTTTTTTGTTTTTGTTTTTGTTTTTTGCGGTACACGGGCCTCTCACTGTTGTGGCCTCTCCCGTTGTGGAGCACAGGCTCCGGACGCGCAGGCTCAGCAGCCATGGCTCATGGGCCCAGCCGCTCCATGGCATGTGTGATCTTCCCAGACCGGGGCACGAACCCGTGTCCCCTGCATCGGCAGGCAGACTCTCAACCACTGCGCCACCAGGGAAGGCCAGCTTTTTGTTCTTAATGTATCCTGTTTGGGTTTTTTTTTAATATTTATTTATTTATTTATTTGGTTATGCTGGATCTTAGTTGTGGCTTGCAGGCTCCTTAGTTGAGTCTTGCCGGCTCCTTAGTTGTGGCATGTGAAGTCTTAGTCACGGCATGCACGTGGGATCTAGTTCCCTGACCAGGGATCGAACCCGGGCACCCCTCATTGGGAGCATGGAGTCCCAACCACTGCGCCACTAGGGAAGTCCCTATCCTGTTATTTTTAAATTAAAACGTTTTTTCATTATGAAAGATTACACATGGGCACATTGTAGAAAATATGGAACATACAAAGAAGTAGAAAGAAGGAAAAAAATCATCCTTTGCTCTGTTAGATGACCGCTAAACACATATTAGTGTATCTCCTTACATTTATTCAATAAATATTTATTGAGCATCAGCTATGTGCCAGGCTCAGTGATGGATACTGGGGACACCAGAAACAAACATGATTCTTTCTGCCAGAGTTAATTTTTTACAATTGAATTAGACAGCACACAGAAAAATTATCCTCATTCTTGACAGCATACAATTCTACAATACCTTTTATTAAAAATTATATATTATGCATAGGGAACTATATTCAATATCCTGTAATAAACCATAATGGAAAAAAAATCCTTGAACAAGTTTTAAAAATTATATCTTATGAATATATCATGGAGAAAGCTAAAATAATATTCATGTGAATGTTAATAGAGATTGTCCCTGTTGGATAGAATTTAGAGTAATTTTTGCTTTCTTATTTTCTGTATTGTTTGATATTTTGCAAAATATGATGAAAAAGCCTTTTGGGGGCGTTGATTGATATTTGTAAAATACAGAAAAGAAGAAAATAGAAGCCACTCAAAATCCCATCTCTTGAGATAAATACCGCTGTTGCTATCTTGATGTACTTCCTGATACCTCTTTTTCTGTGCCTAGTTGAGATCACATACGCACTGATTTTCTTTTTTTTTCGCACTGATTTTTAAGCACAGTTAACTTGGTTTCCTATAATTAAAAAATTTATCCATGATAGACCAGGAGGTCCCCAAGCCCGCTGAGGGACATCGGGACTGCTGGTGCCCTCTTGGTCATCCTGAGGAAAAGGGAGTCCTCTGCACCTGAAGCCAGAAGCTCCTAGGCCTGAATCCCCAGAATGCTGACCAATCCAGGAGTGCAAACAACGCAGTCATTCTTCAAGGCTTAATCAAACTCCTGCTGCAGGCGGGGCAGCCTTAGGACAGTGATACCCAGGCCTCGTCCTTCAGGAGCTCAAGGTGGTTGGAGGGATGAGCACCACCAGGGACCCTCATGCCCACTGTGTCAAGCACAGACAGTTGATGCAATAGAAACCCCAGAGGAGGGTGGGCAAGATGCGTGTGGGCTGGGGCAGCTGGAAAAGCCCTTCTACAGGAGGTGTGACATCAGCTTAAGCTTCAGGATAAGGGAGCAAGTGGGAAGGGCATTCCAGGTGGGAGACAGAGCACGAGCAAACCCAGAGTCAGCGTGGCGTTGGTGGCATCACAGAGTTGATGCAGCCCCCATACTGGGCAGGAGGGAAAGCACCTCGGTAACACGCTGCTTCATAGGACCTTGTCTTATCTTAGTGAAAGCCGTATTGAACATAGTAAGTGATTTGTCTGAGGTCACACAGAAAGCTCATGGCAGTTCCTGTCCCCTAACCCTCAAAGCAGAATTCTTCCCCCAGACCACACTCCTCACATAAACTAAATTTTGAGAACCGACACCAGAATGAGGTATTCCAGGCTCAATCCAGGCTGAGGTTCTCCCACAGCTTGTGTTTGTTCCCTGCAAAGAGCAGCAATGAGGACTAGCGCCCCGAGTAACTGGAAAACGTTGGCAGAGACGGGGGCTGGTCTTCCCTGCAGGGGCAGCTCACCTGGTAGGCAGTAGGCCTCACCATTTCTCCTTTGCCCACTTGGCTGATGGTTGAATTTCTCAGTGGGCCTGAGTGTGTCCGTGTGAAGATTTTTTTTTTAAATAAATAAATACATGTATTTATTGATTTATTTTTGGCTGTGTTGGGTCTTCGTTGCTGCGCTCGGGCTTTCCCTAGTTGCGGCGAGCGAGGGCTACTCTTCATTGCGGTGCACGGGCTCTAGGTGTGAGGGCTTTAGTAGTTGTGGCACACAGGCTCAATAGTTGTGGCTCACAGGCTCTAGAGCACAGACTCAGTAGTTGTGGCGCATGGGCTTAGTTGCTCTGTGGTGTGTGAGATCTTCCCAGACCAGGGCTTGAACCCGTGTCCCCTGCATTGGCAGACAGATTCTTAACCACTGCGCCACCAGGGAAGACCCCCGTGTGAAAATTTGTTCCTTGCAGTGTTATTTATAGTAGGGCAACAATAGAAACAACCTAACGTCCAACAACAGCAACATAGAGCAGTGATGCTACACCCTGTCCTGGTCAGAGCTCTGGTCTTCATACATCTCTAAAGTGAAAAAGAGAAATTCAAATCATAGAATTCATTTGATCTCATATACACTTTGTAAAAATTCACACATACATGATTATAAACAAGACTGGAAGGAAAAATATCAAAATGTTAATAGTGGTTATCTCTGGATGGTTAAATTATGGGTGATTTTCATTTTCTTGTTTTTTTTTGAATTGACTTATACCATAGATATTTTACAATAATCTTTTTTATTTTTATAACCAGAAGAATATAATTTTGTGTTTTTTAAAAAAAACTTTAATAAATGTTAGCCTAAATTGATTGTGGGAAGAAAAGAACTTGGGGGAAAGAGCCTGGATTAATGCCTAGTACAGATCCTGGCACACATTAGGTGTTTAATAAATGCTCTCATGACTTTGGAGCTGAGCTCTGGGTTCTATTTTTGGAGATAAAAGTCATTAGCAGTCCTTGGTGACAGACCTGGGTTTGAACCCTGGAATTTCTGCTTCCTGACTGTGTGACTTCCAGCGAATAACTTAACTTTTGTGAGCCTCAGTTTCCTTATCTGTAAAATGGGGAGGGAGAGGCATTAATACCTTCTTCACAGCATTTCCAAGAGGATCAAATGAAATATTAACTATAAATTACTTAGTTCAGTGTTGGTACATAGTAAGTGCTCAATAAATGGTGACTCTTATTACTAACTTTGAACAAGGCCCAGGTCCTCTCAGGCCCCCAACTCTTCTTTAGTCAGCTGAACACAGTCACCTTGGAGCGTGTGAGGGGCGTCAGACACAGAGCAGCAGGAAAGCTCTTGTACAGCTGTCTTGCCTCTTGAAGAGCGCCCACCTCACCCCCAGCGCAAAGACTATGTTACTTTTTAAGGCTTCCGACACCAGGAGAGGGAAGCCACTCTGGGGTGCTGTAACTGGGGGGAGCTGACTAACAGGCTTTGTCTACACCCAGATGCTGAGCATGGGGAGCCTGACGTTTTGAAGGATGAGCTTCAACTCTATGAAGGTGATTGTCTGTCCAGTGGCTTTGGGGGAAACAGAATTAAACAAAGGACATGAAGGCTTAGGGCTTTGTTGGGAGGAAACAAGGTGATGAGGGTGTTTCATGAGCTCAAAGTCCTGAGCAGTTACAGGAGATGTGGCAAGGTGAGTGGTTATAACATGGGCAGATGGAGGTGGGGGCAGGCATTTTCTGCCACAGTCAGACTGTCTTGGAATCTCTTCTGATCTATAACCCTGACTTGCAGGTTGACTGTGACCAGTCACCCAACCTTTCTGGGCCTCAGCTTTCTAACCAGCAAGATGGAACTTAATCAGTACCCTCTCTCTTGGAATACTGGGTTGTTTGAGCATGCAAGGGAAAATTAAGGACCTGATTTCTACAAAACTCAAATTACGGAGTAATTGTCTCTAAGCATCATGATTTTTACAGCGAGCAGATATAAATATTATGGCACTTTGCTTGGTAGCACTTTGATGAGATGGAGGAATTTGTAGGAATGAACCAGTTTGCCAAAAAGCCTCATAAATGAACACTGCCGGATAAGAAAACCTGTTTAACTTTGTTTAATCCAACATTTACATAATCTGCTTAGTCTCATAATGCCAGATAATAACCCAAGAAATACAACGGGAAACACATATACATTCAAAGAAATGGAAATGAAATATCTTAATATTTTGCATCAAGGTATTACCAGTGACTGCCACTGGGTGGTAGCATTGTGAGTAATCTTCATACTATTTTCTTTCATCTGAATTTTCTGATTTTCTTTTTCTTTTTTTTTTTAAACAAAAACAGGTACTATCTAATTTTTAAAAATGTTGTTAATTAAGTAGTGTAAGAAAGTTTTCACTGAGTGTAAAATGAGAGAGAAACTGTTACATATACATACATTTTAAATGTTTTTTTCTCATCAAAAAGTAAGTCATGTTCACGTAGAAAACGTAGATATCATCACGTATTTGTGAATTAATTCCCCCAAGTAATGAATTCCCTGCCCCGCCTCCCCCCTCCCGAGACACCAGAGGTACTTGGTAATTACACGGCCAGAGTCTCATTTCATGCCGTTCTTGGTTTGCCTTCTGTACCCTTGGTGCTGGCCTCTCTGGTCACTTACAGACACTGGTTCCCGTTTGCACATTAGCCTAAAGACAGTTCAGCATACTGAGTGTTTATTGCCATGAGCTGAGTGCCCCCTTCAGGTGTTTGTGTCCTGGGGCTGATCTGGAGGGCGGAAGTGTACAGAGTGGGGACTCCTGCCTTCCCTTGAGGGAAAGGTGACAGACTAGGAGAGAAGTCACTGGGAATAGAGTAGGCGCCAAGAACCAGAGGGTGGGGACTTCCCTGGTGGTTCAGTGGGAAACACTCCGCGTTCCCAATGCCGGGGGCCCGGGTTCGATCCCTGGTTGGGGAACTAGATCCCACGTGCATGCCACAGCTAAGAGTCTGCATGCCACAACTAAAGTTCCTGCGTGCCGCAACTAAGACCCAGCACAGCCTAAGTAAATAAATATTTTTAAAAAAGAACCAGAGTGTGAATGAGGTGTGAGGGCCACCCAGGCCAGATTAAAGGGAAGGCTGCACCTCAGGGAAGGTATAGGGCTCGATTCATCCTAGGCAGCCCAGACAGGAGCTCCACACTGGGGTCAGGGGCCGGGGCCCCCATAGTACAACCCAGCTTGGCTTCCACAAGCTCAGGGCCTGGTGAGGCTGGAGCCATGTGGCTAAGTGTCCTCACCTGAATCTGGATAGTAATGAAGAGGCACAGATTGCAAACTGGTGGCCTGTGTGTACAGATGTATATTATCTGGCTCTCAAAATATCTTTATTATTATTATTGTTATTAATATATTTCATCACGTTTACAACTAACAGTTTTTCACATCTGGAGATCTATGAAATCAGGGTGCCTCTTAAAATCACTGGCAACTTGCAGTTATAATTGGCAGTAACTTTCCTTCCATAAAATGACGTCATTCTCACAAACCATGATATCTTTGATTCGATGAAATATGAATTGCCAGCTTTTTTTATAGTCAAGAAGTTTATATAAAAACCTGGATTTCTGGCTTCTCGTGGGAAATTAGAAGACCTTTAACATGGGGCAGGCATTGCTGCGGCAGCTTTTGGGGACTGCGGGGTGGTGCCTGCCCCTTTAGATGAAAGAGGAACCCTCCAGTTTGCTCCAGTGCCCCCTGCAGATCAATGGAAAGTCTCTGGGTGAGAGAGCTCCACTTTCCTGCAGTGTAATTTCTCCCCACCCAGAGGGTACGAATATGCAGTCACTGATTTCCCTTCTGTGCAGGTGCCCCCGGGGAGATGGTGCCGTCTGAAGAATCAGGTGAGTGTCTGTTAGGGGAGAGGGGTCGTTGGTACTGGTGTTGAACGAGGTCTGGGCACCGTCTTTCCCCCAAAAGAGGAAGGTGCTGTCAGGTGCACGGCTGTGAGAGATGGGACTCCAAGTCTGCTTGGGGCCTGGGGCTCTGACCTGGGCTCAGCAAGCAGGCGGGGCTGGCTGTGGCATGAAACCGGGAGCCAGTGGAGGTTAGAAAGGGGGTCCAGGCAAGAACAAAGGGATTTTTAATAACAATCTATAGATAGAAAGATCCCCTGGGGGCTGGAGAATTCAACAGGGGCGTTTTCAGAGGTCACCTGTGGCACTCGTTAAGGACCCAAGCTGGCCTGGGCACTAATGTTGAGTTTCTAATTTCCAGGACTCCGAAGGAGAGGCTCTAACCCAGAGAGTGGTAAATATGCAAGCTCTGAGCGGAGAGCTGGAGGCGGCCTGGATTCCAGGGGATGGGATGGGACCACAGGCAGCCTGGGGGGAAGGGAGATCAGTCCAGCAGCAATGCAGTCACCGTGATCCAGGAAAGGGGCCTCCGGGCTCAGGGGACATGGAACAGAACAGACACAGGCCTGTGGAGGAGGAGGGCATCAGTGGAGGTCCAAGGACAGCCACCCCACCTTCAAGCTTTGCCCTGACCGGTGCTGCAGTGAGTGCCCTCTGACCCAGGAAATAGAACCTGGGAGAGCCATTCTCAGTGAGGGGAGCGAGAATCCCACCAGCTATCCCGTGTCAGAGTTAAACCCTCGTCTCTCTCTTGTTCCCAAGGAGAAGTGGAGCCCTCTCAGTTAAGAAGACTAAATATAAAGAAGGATGGTAAGGAAATTGGGGTTCCAGGGCTGCTGCTTTTGTCTGGTCCAGATTTCTCTGGGTAAAAAGTCAGCTGGTGGCCTGGAATGACAGTAATCATGGCCCACCTCTGCTGCGGGTCCTGCAGTTTGCAAAATCCTCAGCTTAGAATCACCTTGAGAAGGTGGTACAATGATTCCTGTTTTGCAGATATAGAAACTGAGGCTCAAGGAAGGGGAGTGGTCTTACAGCTAGTGAGTGACACGACTTGGGCTTGGATCCTGGTTCTGTGCTCTTTCTGCTGTACGCCAGGTCACTAGCATGATAAACGCCCTCCAGGCCTTATGGCCATAATGGGGAGCTGGGAACAGGCTGGGCCAAGGAAGCTGTGAGGTTAGATTAGACTGAACTCTAGGGAAGGAGTGATGAGAACCGGAGGGACTGCCTCGACTCCAGGCCTGGAATCATGGGGGCTTCGGGGAGGAGGGTAAGGGTGGGAAGGGAGACCATGTTTTGGGGGGGTTTTTTTGGGGGGGTTTGGCCTCATTGTGAGGCATGTGGAATCTTCTTAGTTCGCCGACCAGGGATTGAACTCGGGCCCCAGCAGTGAAAGCCTGGAATCCTAACCACTATGCCACCAGGGAATTCCTGAGACCATAGTTTTTGTTTTGTTATGTTTTTTATATATAAATTTATTTATTTGTTTTTGGCTGCGTTGGGTATTTGCGTGCAGACTTTCTCTAGTTGTGGCGAGCGGGGGCTCCTCTTCGTTGCGGTGCATGGGCTTCTCATTGCAGTGGCTTCTCTTGTTGTGGAGCACGGACTCTAGAGTGCAGGCTCAGTAGCTGAGGTGTGCGGGCTTAGCTGTCCCGTGGCATGTGGGATCTTAGTTCCCTGACCAGGGATCGAACCCACGTCCCCTGCATTGGCAGGCGGATTCTTTACCACGGGACCACCAGGGAAGCCCTCTAGAAATATTTTGAGTTGTTCAAAAGCCCGCCTTTAGGGAGTGGGAGACCAGGGTCCGAGCCCCTGGCTCTGTCTCCATCCAGCTACATGAACCGGGACGTGCTGTTGAGCTGTTCCGGGCTATGAAGTGAGCCTCATCCCACTAAAACCGAGATTCCCAAAGCGCAGGCCATGTCCAGGTTGCTTCAGGACATGGCATTACACCCCCAAGTGAGAAGGTGACTGCCCTTTCCCCTCTCTTTTTCTGCTTGGAGCCCCCGGGCCTTTAGTGCCACCCTGACCCTTGCTCACTGCCCTCCGGACACAGAGATCAGGACTGTGCGCAGAGCCGTCTGCAGGCAGTGGTGGGTAGACCTTCACCGTCTTGCTTTATGGGCCTTGTGTTTGTTTTTAAGACATGGGATCCTAGTTTTCCACTTAGTGTTGTGACATGAAGTTTCCTTTTCAAGTAAATCTATTTAAGGAAAAATAAGAATCTGCTTAAAGAAAAACTTTAAGTAAATAGTACAAGTGGTCCTTGGGTAGCAAGAAATTGTGAAGGTCATAAGCAGTGCTACATAGAAAGGGCAAAACCCACATAGGTGGTGTGTGGATGGCTGAAATCAGAGAAAACAGACAAGGGTGATCCCCTAGGTCCCTCTTGGCTCCAATACACCTTGGAGTCCTTATCCTGGCCTGATCTCTTCAGCCCCCAAAACTTCTAGTTCCCTAAAACTTGAAGTTCTCTTCCCAGAAATTCACTCACTCTGCGCTCACCTGGTTGAACCCTTCACTGTACTGGGTCTGTGCCTTGGTCCCACCTTCTTACCTATCTCATGGCACGTGAATGTGTGCACGCATGTGCACACACACAGACACACACAGACACACACACAAAATCTTCCCTTTCATCCAACTCCTACTGCCTTGGCTGTCTTTAAGGCTTACCTCAAACTCTCTTTCTTCCATTAAGCCCTGCCCCAGATATGGTGAGTCCTGAATGTTTATGACATCTTACAGCTGCATCCAATTCCACAGTGTGGGTACCTTATAATGTATTTACCATTCCCCACTTGATAGATATTTAGGTTATTTCTAATTTTTTGCTCTTTCAAACTAAGCTGCCCTACCCATCCAGCCCTCTGTTTGGTCTTACATTTCTCTGCAGTCTCTCTCTTTTTAAAAACACTTGTATTTTCTAAATATTTACTCATAAGAAAATGGGGGAAAGATCCAGGGAGAAATTCTCTGCTAGGAGTTCATTTTGCATTTCTGAAGATTTGGGTGAGGAAAGAGTTTTCACCCCCACTCTGTCACATCTCTGAAGAGACCTAAGCCTGATGCTTTCTTAAACGTTAAGTCTAGTTCTGCATGACGTCTTTTTTTCCCTTAAAGGACAAATTGATTTCAGAGCCAAGAATGTTCTAGAAATAATCTCTTGATTTTCCCCCCAGAAAAAAAATAACAAAAACAAAACCAGAAATACCCTCCTCACTTCTGTTCACTTGCCTTCCACATGCCACCTGACAGCAGTGATATGTATAGTCTCACTCTGCCTTTTGCCATTTACAAAGCACTTTCCCCTCCAAGACCCCCATCCATCCCTCCGTCAGTGGTGTAGAGGTTGCTCTCCTTGATTTATCAATGAGAACGCTGAGGCTCAAGGGAGTCAGGACACTTGTCCAAAGTTCACAGCACATCAGTGGCCAAACTGGACTAAAGTAGGACACATTCCCAGCAGCCTTGGCCACTCAAAGAGCCTGCCTTGTTCCAGGGAACCGTCTCTGAATTGTCCTCTCTTTCTTCTTTTTCTTTCTTTTAAAAACCTTTTTGGCATCTTCCCTATCACAGCCCTCTGCCTGGGTCAAGGCCCCTGTGTTCTCTCCCCTGATGACTCCCGCAGCGCCTGGCAAAGGGCAGGGGGGCCTCCTTCACAAACCATCCCTGAATTCCTGCCCAGGGCATGGGCCCTGCCTCCCAGCTACTCCCTCTACCTCCATTAACTACTAGGAAGAGCCTGCAATGCTGCTTCTGGGCACCAGGCCCACAGAAATGCACACACAAGGGCACAGACACATTCATATGCGGTGATGTTTGGTGCAGAAAATCAGTCCCTGATCAGCTTCCTCAATGGGAGACTAGTTACATAAATTAGGGTAAGTTTATGCCATGGAACACTATGCAGCCATCAGAAAGAACAGGGCAGGGGCTTCCCTGGTGGCGCCGTGGTTAAGAATCTGCCTGCCAATGCAGGGGACCCAGGTTCGAGCCCGGTCCGGGAAGATTTCACATGGCGCGGAGCAGGTAAGCCCATGTGCCACAACTACTGAGCCTGCGCTCTAGAGCCTGCGAGCCACAACTACTGAGCCCGCACACGTAGAGCCGGTGCTCCGCAACAAGAGAAGCCACCGCAATGAGAAGCCCGGACACCATAATGAAGAGTAGGCCCTGCTCGCCGCAACTAGAGAAAGCCCGCGCGCAGCAACGAAGACCCAACGCAGCCAAAAATAAATACATAAATAAATTTATATATATATAAAAAAGAACAGGGCAGATCTGTATATGCTCGGAGATAGAAAGGATGGCCCCAATCTATCAAAGAGAGGAAAACAAACCATAGGGCAGCAGGTACACAAACTGATCCTGCTTTTGTTTTTTTTGAATGTGCATGTATATACTTGGAAAAGTTTTGTCAATCACCGCTTGCTTTTTTTTTTTTTTTTTTTTGCGGTACGCAGGCCTCTCACTGTTGTGGCCTCTCCCGTTATGGAGCACAGGCTCCGGACGCGCAGGCTCAGCATCCAAGGCTCACGGGCCCAGCCGCTCTGCAGCGTGTGGGATCTTCCCGGACCGGGGCACGAACCCGTGTCCCCTGCATCGGCAGGCAGACTCTCAACCACTGTGCCACCAGGGAAGCCCCCACTGCTTGCTTTTAAGGAGTTGGATTAGGAAGGGAGAATGGAGCAATGTGAAACTTTTAAACTAAGCATGTGCATTTTTTACAATTGTATTTAGCATCATTCGACAAATAAGGCGTTAGACACCTCTGCATGCCCGGCGCTGCTTTAGATGATGGGCAAAATCCCCAACCACCATCCTACAGAGTGGGTCAGAGAATAAACACAGCAATGAAAATCCAGCAAGTTGAGTGGTGTTAAGTGTTAGAAAAATAATAAAGTGAGGTGAGGGCTGAAACGGGTGGGGCTTGGGGTGCTGTTTTAGTTGGGCTGGTCAGGAGCAGCTTCTCAGAATAAAGCTCCCTTTGAGCAGAGACAGGAATATTTTAGTTAATTAAAAAGAGAGAAAGAAGCAAACAGTAATCTTCACCTCTGCCTTTACAGATGAGTTTTTCCATTTCATCCTCCTCTGCTTTGCCATTGGGGCCTTGCTGGTGTGTTATCACTATTATACAGGTGAGTGTGTGGGGGCGGTGAGAACAGGGGGCAGAGGTCCAGACTTGCAGGCTGACCATTCTCTCCCTCGCTGCCCCTGCAGACTGGTTCATGTCCCTTGGGGTCGGGCTGCTCACCTTCGCCTCCTTGGAGACCGTTGGCATCTACTTTGGCCTGGGTAAGACCCTCGCACACAGACTCTGGGATAGCAGCGGCTGGGCTGGCCGCAGGGGCTCGCCAAGGGCTGGAAAGCCACGACCTAAACTTTTTATAAAGATTTCTTTATGCTCGTGTTTGCTTCCTGACCGCTTTCAAGGTCAATGTGAGGTCGTTGGCAAAACCCCATGGAAAAAATGGGCAGCTCCATAAAAAATACAACAAAGACAGTTTAAAGTGGCAAACAAACAGAATTAGCCAGATACTGAAAACAAGGCAGTTAATGGAGTGAGGTACTGAATTCTCCGAGCTTCCCGGCATTGTTATTGCTGCTCATGGTTGTTTTTAATAATAAGAACTCAATACCATTATCTAAGCTTAACCTGAAGCCTGAAATTCCACCATTAGAGCTTTGTTTGTACGGGTTAGGCCTTTGTTCAAGGGCAGGCAGGGGGAGGTCTGACCCCGGATCCCTCGAGGGGACACAAAGCTCCATCACCTTTCTCTCCTCCGTTCTTGACAGTGTACCGGATCCACAGCGTCCTGCATGGCTTCATTCCCTTCTTTCAGAAGTTTAGGCTGATAGGTAACTTTTACATTCTTCTATGTTCACTTTCTCTCCCTGCCAGGGTCTTCTGTTGCAAATGAGGCTTAGCATACTGGAAAGAGCACAGGGCCTGGAGTCATGGGCTTGGGTTCAAGTCCTGCCTCCTTCAATTTACCATTTCTGGGGCTCTAGAGCCTCTTTTAGCCTCAGTTTCCTCAACTGGAAAATGGGTGTAATAATACCTACAGCACAAAGGTGTTGTGAAAATCAAGTGAGGAATAGATGTAAAAGTCCTTAAGTCCAAACCATTGTAGGAAAGTGAAGGGGACCTGAGTATTCCTCGTTCTCTCATAGAACTTTGCATCTTTCCAAACAGTATCTTCTTTGTGATTTTATTTGCCCAGCTGGGGGTGAGAGGGGGTTTCAGTTATCTTACACTTGGCTGATGAGGAAACTCATTAGTCAGTTACACTCATCAGAGAGGTAGAGTGACTTGCCCAGAATCACACAGCTAGAGTGGCTGGGCAAGGCTAAAGGAGATCCCCTTTCTTGACCAGCAGCTCTGTGTCTACCATTAAATCACAAAACTGAGAGGCCAGGGGCTGTGTGCTTCCGTGTCATGAACTTTTGTCTCCTTTAATCCATCTCGTGCATAAAGGGGAAATTTGTTGCAATGGCTGTGGGTCATGACTGCCTTATCCCAGCTATGAGGGGCATTTGGGCATCTGGGGTAATGGTGGGGAGGAGGCCTGGCTGCCTTCAGAATCCCATGCCATCCTGTGGGCTTTGCCTTACAGGCTTCAGGAAGACCGACTGAGGCCAGTGCCAGGTGGGCAGCCAGGCCAGGCCCCGGTGTGACCACCACTGCATCCTTTCAGCCCACGAGGACAGAGAAGCGTCCTGGGAGACACGCGGGCGGGCCAAGCTAGAGCAATAAAGAGAGCGCTTTGCCTTCCTTGTGGTCTGAACATTGGCACCAGCTGGGCCAGGTGTCCCTCGGGCAGTGTTGGCATAAAACCCAGCCGCCAGGATGGCAGGAGAGGGAGGGTGCGGGCCTGTGCCCTTCACGGAGCCTGGATCAGTGGGAGGATCCTGGGACATCACTCCTCTCAGGAGACAGTGGGAGACCCCTGGGCCCTGCAAGCTGTAATCTGTCTGAGCTTGTGAATTCTTTCAAGTCCCCAGGCCATCCCGGGACAGACAGATGGTCCACTGCCCTGAGGCAGAAACGTACCACGTCAGGCCCCTGGGGTGAACCTGATACAGGTGAGATTTGGGGGAACTAAATCCACAGCATCCAGGTCTTCCTATTACCTAGTGCCAGCCCTGCTGTCCTTAGACTCCATTAAGATTCAAATAAACATTCTCTTCCCTGGACTAAAAAGAGTCAGCTAAATATTCCTTTCAGTTTCTTGAGTGTGAGGTTACATTTGAGGTCTTCTTTGACCCCATCTAGTCAGAGGGGGCACCTTGTCCTACTGGACAAAGTATAAAAGGGAATAAATGCAAAAAGCCCCTCATTTTAGGTCCAAGACTTCAATTGCACAGGTTTGGAATAGGAGGCAGGGTTTTGCAAACGTTCTTGTGAAAAAGATCTGGAGCTGTTAGGTATTCTCAGCTCAACAAATACCAAAGAAGTGAGATAAGAGCACAGAAAAATCCATTGCAAACTCGTGTTGTGTTAGTGGAGGTATAGAGTCTAGACTGAAGGAGGTGATAGTAGGTTCTCTCTTGTACACAGCCAGACCACGCCAGTAGAATGTGTTCTAGATTCATATATCAAGAGTGACAGTGACAAACTAGAGAATACACAGAAGAAGAAACTAGAGCGGGGATGTAAAGAATAATTGAAGAAGGGACAACTCTTTGACTTGCCGAAGAAAAAAATGGGGACCTTTACTGAGCTCGTGGACTCTGGAAGACACTTTCTCAAGTGTCTGTGATTGTCCAGGTCCGTTATGTGGTTTAATTCTCACAACAGCCTTGAGATGTGTACATCATCCCCATTTTGCAGATGGAGAAACAGAGACCCGAGGAGTTGTAGTAACTTGTCAAGTTCCCACAGCAAGTCAGTGACAGAGCTGTGAGTGGAACCCAAGCCTGTGTTCTCCTTACAGAGCTTGGCTAGTGCAGTCCCCCACCCCAGGCAGAGCATCCCTGAGGCAGCTGCAGTTTATTCCCAGTATTTCCCAGATTTGGGAGTTCTCAGACTTACAGAATTGTTTTTTAAAATTTATTTTATTTATTTATTTTTGGCTGGCATTGGGTCTTCATTGCTGTGCACGGGCTTTCTCTAGTTGCGGTGAGCAGGCTTCTCATTGCGGTGGCTTCTCTTGTTACGGAGCACGGGCTCTAGGCATGCGGGCTTCAGTAGTTGTGGCATGCGGGCTCAGTAGTTGTGGCTCGCAGGCCTAGTCGCTCCACAGCATGTGGAATCTTCCCAGACCAGGGCTCGAACCAGTGTCCCCTTCATTGGCAGGCGGATTCTTAACCACTGTGCCACCAGGGAAGTCCCCCAGAATATTTTTATAAAGTGAGAAAAGGAGGGCTGCCAACTCCTTATCTTGCCAATTAAGGAAATAAAAATAGCAAAAAACATCAACTGTCAGCATCATTTTATAACAGAAGGGATAGTCCCGCATCAAAAAAGCAGGGAGGGGCTTCCCCGGTGGCGCAGTGGTTGAGAGTCCGCCTGCCGATGCAGGGAACACGGGTTCGTGCCCCGGTCCGGGAAGATCCCATATGCCACGGAGCGGCTGGGCCCGTGAGCCATGGCCACTGAGCCTGCGCGTCCGGAGCCTGTGCTCCGCAACGGGAGAGGCCACAACGGTGAGAGGCCCGCATACTGCAAAAAAAAAAAAAAAGCAGGGAAATTGTCATCAGAAACAAAATGGGGCTTAAAATGAAAAATGAAGCTTTATGGAAATCTTACTTACTATGTGTCCTTTGCCCTCAAGTCACTGTGGTCTGGTGAAAATTTTATCTTTTGGAAACCGTGAGACTAAAGAACTCCTCAGGACTTTTATATTCTCTCATTTTTGGGGTTTTCCAACTCAGTTCCCACACCTCAAGGGATGAAAGGCTTGCTACCTCCCAAAGCACCTTGTACTGCAAGAATTTTTCTGCTCTGTGCTAAGACGCCTCTGTCAATGAAGCTTAAGGCCTTCTTTCAACAGAACAAATGACCCACGAGTAGGGAACGTTCCTGATAGTCATGGCTATGTTATCTCAACATTCAGCTCTCAGCTCAGCCCTGACAGCAGAACCTGGGGCCCAGCCCTCCAACTTTGTCCCTCGTTTTCAAGATTGTCTTGGCTGTTCTGGGTCCCTTGCATTTCCATACAAGTTTTAGGATCAGCTTGTCCACTTCTGCGAAGAAGCCGGTGGGAACTCTGCTGGGATTGCATTGCACCTGAATATCAGTGTGGAGAGGATTGTGCTTCTTAGTGATGTATTACCTTCTTTTACATTTTGTTAGAAAAAAAATTGCCCCAAATCCCAGAACCCAAATCCACCACAGATGGTGTTTTGGTGTGTTTCCTGTGAGTCTATTTAGTGCATGAGTTCATTTATTTTTATTTTGGGCCCTTTTCTCTTTCATATATAATAAGCATTTTTCCGTTCCTACATACTCTCCCTAAGCATCATTTCCAGCCACTGGGTATTTCATGCTTTACAGAATAATCCCTCTATACTTAGATGATAATTTCAGCAGCTAACATTTGTTCAGTACTTGTTCTGTGCTGGATGTGGAGCCAAGCACTTTGCATACACCGTGTCGTTTCATCCTCATCACAACCCTGAGAGGTAGCACCTGTCCACGATCCCCATTGTACAGACAGGAAAACTAAGACACGGAAAGTTAGTTTCTGAGGTTTGGATTTCAAGCACTTGTGTATAACTTACTTTCCTTAAAAGGGAGCCTGGAGTGCACAGATAAGATATTTATCAAATGAACAAACAGCATGCAAGGCACAATAGAAACATGAACTTGCTGACTTGAGGGCAGTGTGGTTAGCTTTCCCTCTCCCAGCCTCAGTTTCCTCATCTGTACAACGGGGATCACAGCAGCGCCCACCTCACAGTGTGTGGCGAGGGTTATGTGAGATGATTGCATTTCTGGCACAGAGTAGAGGTACTTGATTTGGGCAGAGGCACATATTAGGGCCCTCAGGGGCAGGCAGGCAAACTCAGGCCGGTGTAGAACAGTGTGGAGCAGGGAAGAGAGGGGGCCAAGGGAGCCGATACCTGACCTAAGGGTGACTGCCTGTGAAGACGTGAGTTCGAACTGCTGCTGGTATCCTTGGGCTTTCTGGGCCCAGGTGTCAAAGGAGGGGCTCAGGTGGGTCAGGTTGTAGGGGCCCCTCATGCGCTGGGAGAGAAAGCCCCCCACCTCCAGATCTCAGTGGAGGGTCTGCCTGCCCTAGTGTGCTGCCTCCCTGGGGCCCCAGCCCCCAGCACTGCCCTTAGAACCCCTCACTGCTTCTCTGCCGAGCTACAGCTCAAGGCTAGTGCCAGTGGGGTCTGGTTACACCTCAGGCGTCAGGCAGATTCCCGGAGCCCCAGTCCAACAAGTGGTCTAAAAATAAAGCATTGAATCCTGAGTCCAGGAAGGCAGGGTTGCAAAGTGGGGCGGTGGAGCAGGGCTTGGATGGGCTGGGCTTCTATCTCTGGTTGCCCTGGACACTGTGCACTGGGTTTCTGCTGTGACCACAGCAGAGGAGGACACGGGTATGAGGGTATTTCGAGGCCATCCAAGCCAGCTTGCACAGGGAGGAAAAGAGGGAAGCCCAGCAGTGCTGTGGCAGTTGTCTCCTTCTCCTGACACGGCCCCAGGAATCCTCCGTCTACTCCAGAGGACCCAGGCAGGACTGGAAATGGAGCCAGGGGATGATGCTGACTGAGCCTGGGAAGCTGGGGAAAGTGCTTGACGTGGAGGCTGGCCTTTGCGAGGAAGATGTAGGGAAGGGCTTTGCAGGCAGAGGGCCCAGGGTGGGCAAAGTCATGGAGGAGTGAAAGGACAGCATGTCTGGGGGGCAACAGGTATCAGTCCAGCATGGCTGGGTAGGAGTGAGGATTAGTGGGCAAGATATCACACAGGGCAAATGGCCTGCTTCCCCCCCGGAGAACCTTGAGAGCTGGGGTAAGGAGCTGGGCTTTAGCCCGAGGACAGTGGGGAGCCATGGAAGGTGTTTTAGCAGAGGAGTGGCATGGTGAGATTGCATTTTAGAAAGATCACTCCGGTGGCCCTGTGGGGGCCATGCGAATGAGCATGACCTCCAACTACGGGGAGCATAATGGACCAAGGGCTGCTGTGCTCTGTGTTTGCACCGAGGCCATGCTTCCCATGGGTTGCTCCTCGCCGTTGACTCTGAAGGCCCTTTCCTGGGAGACACAGGACTCCTCTGACAGTTGACTTCAGCTTGAGGACTTCCTGACACCTGCCGAACTCTCCTTAGAGTATCCAGCAGACAAAACGCTTCCACCTGACCCTCCTTCCCTGTCTTCTTCCCCTGGGACTAGATTTGCATCATCCCAGCCTTCCCCTCCCTCCCTTTTTCTCTCCCATAGGTGTTTCCCCTAAGGACATCCTTTCATATTTCACCTCATCCTGTGCTAGCTTCTCAGAGGGCCCAGACTAATGGGATGAGACTAGAGGTGGGGCGATAGGAGCAGAGAAGAAGGGTAAATTTGGAGACATTAAGGGCTAATCCACAGTATGGCTGGAAGTGTGCACCCACCGCACCCCTCTGGCTTTTCCCCAGGCTGGCGTTCTCAACATGCAGCATGGCAGTCCTCTATGTCCATATTGGTCTTCTCAACTAGGCTCTGAGTTTGTTCGACAAGTAAATGAATGAATGATTAAGCAAGTGAATGAATGAATGAAGTGAAGGGAAAAAAGGAGTCTAGGATGATCCGGAGCTCCAGTTGGGGTCACTTGGTTGTAGCCAGTAT